CATTCCTGTCATCTCATCAGCATTTTTATATTGAATTTATTTGTTGATAATTTGGGTCCAACCTTGTCTCTTTTTTTTTTTTTGATGCTGTGTGCTTCTGAGGAAGTTAGCTACATCACATTCTTCTTTCCAGTGAACTTTTGGTCTGCTTGTTTATTTCCCAGTTAGCTAATGCAGGAGGTGCCTTGAAGACTGGAAGCTGAAGAGAATAATGCATTCCTTTTTATTTGTTGACGGTCTCACTTCTTTAGATATAAACCTGCTACCATTTGAATGCACAGTACCTCCTGTGTTACACAGACACAGCTATAAAGAATAACTTTGGGACTTGGTTTGAAAAAAAAAAAAAAAAATACACTTGAAGCCCTATATGACCCTTACTGGAAACGTAAACTACCTGGAGTAGGTATCCTTGACAGTAGATAAACAGTTCCACTGAGACAGTGTTAAAAATGAGTAACTGGTAGAGATCACAGCTGCTGTTGTGCTGGATGCAGTAGGCTGTTCACACTCTCGTGTCACAAAGCTCTCGCGGAAGGGCAGCGTTTTCAGCTTTCTGTTCCTAGCTATAAATGCTCCGTTGCTTTACTGGTGGCCCGACAACGTCTTATTGAATAGAGCGAAGTACCAGATGAAGATTAACTTCAGTGTTAAATCTGAGCCTAGTATGCTTTGTAAAAAGCTGCGTAGACCCCCTGTCACAGCTCTTACAGTTCTGTAAGCTATTGTGCCACGGGGGTCACTTACCCTACCAAGTACATCCCTGTAAAATTCTTTATGAACTACTGTGTATATGCAGTACTTGTAATCAATGCAAGTAGCACAGGCCTAGGAGGCTGCAATTGCAGTTTTTTACAATCTTCTTTAATTTGAAGTAAATTATTTCTTTGAATTTATACTATAGTTACCAGGATTTCTGTTCAGTGGCGTAATACAGTATCTTTCACTCGCCTGTTTTTTAATGTACAAATGAACGTGTATATAGGCCTGTATGTGTAGATATCGTAAATTAAATTCTAAGCTTATAGAGATGACATAGGTGGCTTGGTAAGTAAAACTTGTGTGTTCAGTCTTGGTAGTATGAATTTCTGCAGTGTTACAGTGTAACTGTTCAGAGGCCTTAGATTCAGGATGGCATCGGTGGGTGGTCATGTCCTTAGCGTTACTGCAGCCTTAGGAACCCTCTAAGCAGCTTATAGAAAAGAAAAAGAAAAAAAAAAAACCAAACAAAACCCCAAAACAAACAAACAACAACAAAAAAAACCACAACAAAACAACAAACTCGCCAACCAAAGCCCAAGCAAGTATTCAAAATCCGGTTGCATTTTTGTCCTGCACTGCCACAAGTAATCTTCACACAGATGGGAACGGGGGCACCATCAGCGTGTGCCCGTTATGTCACGAGTCAGATAACGTTCCTGTTTCTTTCCTTTTCTGTAAAACAAGCGTGTCTGTAGTCTGGGGTCTTGTACGTGATCAGGCGGTGACAGCTAACTGTCTCTCCCAAATAAGGTAAACTTTGTGTCAGAAACTCTGGCCGTTCTGCTGCGATGACTGCTCCGGGCTATGGACCGTACTGCTCTGTGGGTGAATGTCAGTTTTGTTCTCCCCTCCCCGAGTGCTTCAAAAATCAGGCTCCAGTGTACATGAGGATTTCTCCATTTTTTTTTTTTTTTTTGCAGCTGCCTTTTCTGACTTGAACTGGGGCATAATGTAAATACTGCTGTAGTAGATATGATGCTAGAGAGTTACTTTTTTTTTAATGTGTGATTAGCATAAATTCAAGGCTTATGAAACTGACTGTTGGTGTGTTGTACTGAGTCTTGGAAGACTTAAAGTAAAATTGCTTAATTTCATTAAGATTTACAAGCATCTTTTCTCTTGTTTGAGTTTTATGCTGACATTTTAGTGAGAAATCTTTATACGAGTCAAAGTTCTGCAACCAAGAACAGGGAGCTGTAATTAAAAGTCGTTTTAAAATGTGTTTACATTTAAAATATTGGGAGATTTATTATTAGGGGCATCATTCAGGTATTCTCAGAGCTTGTAGCCTTATGTATTAGCATTACAGTTCAACATAACTGAAGAGTATCCACTTGTCCATGCAAGTGATTGGGTGACCAAAATTGTCCTCGTGTCTTAATGGGGCTGGGGAGTTGTGGGGTGTGAGCCTAGTTGGCTTTATTAAAATATTTCTATTGCAATGTTAGGCAGTTATTTAAATACACTCTGTGAAACTGAAGAAACAAATTTAAGGAATAAATCTAGGGAGTATGAACCAGCCCAGGTCTCGCTCTTCATACTTTTGGAGAGATGTTTGCCCTGGCATCTGTGACCCAAGAACCTAGAAGAAGATGGGATTATAACGTGTATGTGGCTTCTGAAAGTGAGTTGGGCACTTGCTTAAATTGAGCAGAGAGAGTTCCTGGTGATAAGCACACGAGTTTCAGGCAAGACTTTACAACTCTGTCTCAAAACAAATGTTACAGCCTTGCCTGTTCCCACCCCTTCTGCAGTCAGGTGTGTGGGTTAAGGCTACGTTAGGGAAGATTTTACACTGAAATAGGGAGGGTGGTTCCGATGCTGTGCGGCTTCCAAGGTGGATGAGAAATTCAGAACTACCCGGTGCAATTACTGACTGTTTAGTTTCAAAATCAGCTGTTTACATTGTGACACTGTCCATATTAAAATATGCCTTTGGCCTGGAAAATGACATGCTGATGCAAAACTTCTTTACAGATACGGCGCTACAAATACATTACATGTAAGATACAGGTCACTATGTACTTTTCACAGAAGCATATGGTCACTTAAATACAAGCAACTGGTAATTCATTAATGGATATTGACGATACATTCCTAGTATTTTGACTCATGTAGAGTCAGGTGGTCTATACCTTCAAGGTATATACAGCTGATCTTAGTAACATTAACATCTGCCTCACTTCTTATGAGGCAAAAAGCACATAAATGCTTCCATCTTCAACTAGATACCACACAAGACCAAAAAGTAGATGTAAACTAAGTGTTTTAAGTTAGCCGTTTCTTGGCTTTATTCTGTGTTGGTAGCACAATATTAAATGCAGTGGCGGAACTGTAATATTGTAGGATTTCTAAGCGTAAAGCACATACTTACCACTTTAAGCTAAAAAATAATAGTATTGGTTACTGTATGAGTAACAAGTTTTGCATTCATAGGAAGTTTTGTTTATTGTCTGTAATGTGACGTTTATCTCTGGCCCTGTTCCTCCCATACCTTTTACCCTGTTGACTGTTTTAGTGTCATAGAAATTAAAGGATTTGACCGGTTGTTTTCCTTGTCTGCTTCCGAAGTCCCACTGGGAGTAGCAGAGGCACGGCTGTTGCCGCAGTCGAGCCTGCACAGACAGGAGCTCGTGCCGCTGTTTGCTTCATGGGATGGACGCGTGTGCTGCGGAGTGATGCTTCCTCCGGTATGTCACCAGGAGTGACGAGTGCGAAGGGGCTGCAGCCCTCGTCTGTCCCACCAGGTCTCTCCTGCTCGCCCCTCTGTCTCTGCAGCAGCTGATGCTACTTCAAGTGCTCACGCGTGCCGCTGCTGTGTAGTGACGACAAGATGGGCCTTTTCTTAAAGAATTTACAGTCTAAATTAGAGGGGGAAAGGGCAGAAACAAAGAGCAATTGGCTTCTTCATGCTTCTGACTTTCCTTGAAATTTGCAAGAATGTTCTAGGTTATTTTCCTTTCACTTTCTTTCCCTCCTCTTCCAGCAGCAGGATGGGCTCCAGTGGTGTGTGTGCAGCAGCTGAGCCTTGTGCTTACCGGACTAGCATCTTCAGTTTCGAATCAACAAGCATGGGAAGACAGCTCAATCCAGTTTTTTAAAATCACAGTATATGTAAAACAGCAATTTTTAAAATCTAGGTGAAGTAATTTAAGTAGAAACGGTACACTAAGGCCATGTTAATGACCTCTTTAAAAAGAAGTGTGCTTAGTTTTGTTTAAAAAAGTGTTGATGTGAATGGTGAACCTTTAAACGCTTTATGGAAATAAGATCCCCTACCCCCAAGCATTCCTATTTTTGTTATTTTAGTGCTGACTTGGGACAATATTGCAAACACTAACTCCCCTCCCCAGCCCCGGTATTTCATGAGCTGAAATCTTGAGCGGAATATTGAATTTACTGTTGGTGAACTGGCAGGTTATTTCAGTCGCATTAACAGCATTTGAACTTCACAAAAATGCTGCTTTTGAATTCATCCTGTTCAGGGAGAGCAATCGAAGGCAACAGCCATCACCCAGATGGTGATAAGCTCTGCCACCTCCTGCCTTACCCAGTGCTCTTCCCTTGGGCAAACCGTCTGTGACACTCTCATCAGCGGTGGTGATGCTCCATTTCTGTTCCGGGAGTGGGGAGATCAGCCCCTGGTTTGTCCAACTGCCACACGCAGTCCTAGCTGCTGAATTGGGTTGCTTTTGACTGGGACTGCAGATTCTCAGGGTTTCCAGGTGACAGCTGTGCGTGTTCTTGAACTGCAGCTTTTCACTTTCAGCTCTGTTTTGTTGAGACTAAGACATCCTTTGGGATTTTCTGGTTGCGCGTTCCCATGCAGGCCATTCTGTGTTTGAAGGGCTTCTTGCTGTCTCGGGAATGCTGCACGGTTCTCAATAGAATCGTGTTCCCTCCAGACCACATCCAGAGAGGATCTCCTACAAGTCTCATTTTAGCAATTAAAGCCAGATGATATGGGTCACAATCTTAGGAAGGAGAACGCAACTTACGGGGAATTAACACTAAATGGGACTTCTAGAATCCCCACTGTGCCCCATAATTGGGAGGGTGGGGAAATGACATGGAGCTCACCTGTGCAGACAGTATGTTTGCCATTCTTTTTCTAGTCCATCTTTAAAATTCCATATTTCTAAAAATATATTTAAAATCCTTAGGCTTATGAAATTCAGGGCTGATGAAGCTTTTTTCTAAATCTGGCCTTA